ACGAGGAAATTATTACTGACTCTTTTCCTGCTTTTTCCTTCTCCTTCTGCGGGGCCTGGAATGATTAGCTTGACTTTGGCTATACAAACCTGTCGATTTGATGGCATCTGGAAAAGTCAGTTGAGGGGAATTATAAGTGGGGGGGAAAATGAGGGCTGGAGGTGATGATTGAAAAGAGAGAGAGAAGTAAAAAGGGGGCAGTGAAGGGTGTAATTGGTCGAGAGAAGTCGGGCGTGGAGAGCATTGTTGGCTGCCTACTGTAGCACAGTCCATCTCTGCTTATTCATTTCCAAATCTTTTCATATTCCTGGCTTTCTATTCACTGCCATCCTCGCTCTATGTTCCTGTATCTTCATCAGCATCACTCCATCTCACCCTTTACAATCCACACTATACCCAAAAAGTGCCTGACTTTGGTCGTTTCTGCTATGATCCTTTTTTCCAGTGAAGAAAAAATAAAAAATATTTCATAGCCTCTTCCCTCGTCCTCGTCTTTCCACTCTCCTCCCCTTTTCTCCCACCCTCCTTTCCTGCTTCCCCCTTTTCTCCCCTCTATTCATGACTCCTACTTGTCCCCCCTCCCCCTCACCTTCTCTCTCTTCTCCCACTCTTTCTGATGTGTCTCGCTGTAGCTCCATGCTGATAAACCATGAATATCAAATACCTGTGTGATCGACGCACCCGAGGCAGGCACAGCACGGAGGAGGAGAGGAAGGCAGGTGTGTGGAGTGTGTATGTGTGTCATAGAGAAAGCCAGTGACAGGGGGAAAGAGAGGAAGTGTGTGTGTTGGTATGATTTGTGTGTGTGAACAAAAAAAACAAACAAAACATGCTATCCTTCTATGATATGACTATGCTGATAGACACTTCCTTTACAGCATTATGGAGGCTGATATCCACACACACACCGTCACATGTTCAACTTGCAGTCCAAAACTAATCAGCTGCCCTCTTCCTAGCTCTCCCTCTCTCTCGGCCACTAGAAACCATTTATAACCTCATCCAACCCCAAGCAATTACACTAGCAGCTGCTCCCAGTCACTCTACGCCCGTGTGTGCTAGTGCGCGAGTATACTTATGTGCAAATGTGTAGTGGTGCGTGTGCATCTGAGGTGTTGCGTGTTTGTGGAAATCGTGCCATATGACCCGTGCGTTTTAGAGTTTGCAACGTGCAAAAGGCTCTTGATAGTCTATGTAGCTGCATACAGTGCGTGTGTGCGTAATGTGCTGTATGGGTGGCTGTAATGTGTGTGCGCGTGAGGGTAGAGGCCAGGTGGCAGCTTGAAACATCACTTTAATTAAGCCAAAATGCCTGTTCTGTGGTAGAATGGCCCTCTCTGATTGACTTGTATGTGTCACCACCGGGCCGCTGGAAAACACAGACACACCACTGTGCCTGCTGCCACCGAGCTGCAACCATTAATCACCGCTGCTATTCTCCTGTGCTAATAATGATACAAGTTATGTAACTCCAGTAATGACTTCTTGCTACATTACAACTAAAAAAAACCCCACTAAGCTGCTATTTACCTGAGGTGGCGATAACAACAATATTCAGATCATGTACACTAGTAAGAGCAACAGATACCCCATCAACAGAAAAACTCCAATTTCAAAGTTTACAGGGTTGCAGTAAGTTATGAACTGTCCACCAGTTGTGACTACTCCATGTATTTGACTAGAAGGACAAAAAATTGAAATGCAAAGATTATTTGAGGCTGAAAGCAGTACAGTTAGGTACAGTAATATTATCTTTCAGCAGTCTAATTTACCTCACACAGAGACTCAGTTCATCCTCTGTCTGAAATGTGTCCTTTTAACTCTTTTAGGACAGTTTTATTTTGATTCACTGCAAACAGAAGGCTGTCGCTTTTGAGCTCATGGAGATCCATGTTACCCGACATCATACAGAGTGCAAAAAACTGTCTGAAATAAAATGTTTAGAGCATCGTCACGTCTGAGCTTTTGGCCATTAAGGATCACCTGCACACTGAGTACACTGGGCACAGTTTTAGAGCTTTAGACAGTGGTTGAGTGGTGAGGACCTATGGAGTTTGGAAAGAAAACCATCTGGACTTCTTTAAGTTTCCTTGGAAACGTTTCACCTCTCATCCGAGAAGCTTCTTCAGTTCTAAGAGCAACTGAAGAAGATCCCTTCCCAGACGCCTTAACGCCCACTCACATCCTGGGTCATTTGATCTCAGTAAATCACATGATAGGGTGGGGCTAGGTTTCACCAATGGATTCGCCTGAAACCTTGGCTGATTGTGATCTACACCCACTCCCATAGGGTTTAAATCTGGGGCTCTCCACCAGTTGCTCTTAGAACTGAAGAAGCTTCTCAGATGAGAGGTGAAACGTCTTTAAAAACCTCAAGAAGTCCAGACGCTTTTCCTACCAAGCTTCTTAGACTGCAATAACCTGGATGACCGAGAACCTTCACAGACAGTGGTTAGGACCGTTGCCTCACATGTGCAGAGTGACTGGGATCAGGAATCCACTGGTCAGCCAGGAGCTTCCTGTGTGGAGCTTTCATGCGCTCTCGCTGAGTACTTCAGCTTCCTCCCACAGTATGTTAGATTGACTGGCGATTCTAAATTGGGCATAGGTGTGATTGTGATCATGAATGACTGTCAGTCACTCTGTGTTAGCCCTTTTGTTCCGCCTTTCACCCTCAGGCTTCAGCGTCCCCACTGTTGGTACGGAAGCTGCTCTGCCAGCAGCCGTAAATCACTACAGAGGGTGGTGAAGGCAGCAGAGCACATCACTGGCACGAGGCTTCCTGCCATTCAGGACATTTACCTCCAGCGATGCCTCCGTAAAGCTCACAGCATCATCAAGGACCACAGCCACCCAGCACATCAGTTCTCCTTGTTACCATCTGGCAGACGTTACAGGAGTCTGTCTGCTCGGACTACAAGACTTAAAAACAGTTTTTACCACCAAGCCATACGACACCTCAACCACAACACTTAAACACACACAACACAACACTCAGAAGCTACCCTGCAGCTTCACAAGTACTCTGTTTAATCTGCACTGGTCACTCCACTTTATTGTTATTGATATTTATATTTAAAAGTGCAATACTGTAATTTTCTGCTGCTCATTCCTGTGCAATATCCCATCTGCCCTCCCGTCATATTTCTTTTCAAGATTTTCTTATTTAATCACTAGTGTACATATATTTATATTTATAGATACATATATATTTAGTCATCTTTTTTCTTTTCTCTTTTACCACGTCTCTCTAATATTTTGCTCCTTACTATTTTTCTATTTTTTATTACTTTATTTAATTTTATTATATTTTCTCCTACTGTATCATGCTGCTGAGTGACTGCTGCTCGTCAAACACATTTCATTGCAATGTTGACCCTGTGCTAACTTGCATATGACAAATAAAACTGAAAACTGAAAACTGAATACATATAAATAATAGGAAAAGCACAATAGGTACTGCTTTAAAGTCAGGCTTTGTTTTATTAGTTATGCTCGCTTAGAAGACACCAGCATTTTAGACTTTAAATAAGAATACTTGTCACTGTTATTGCCAGATAGATTTATGCTGACGTAGGCCATCAGACATGCAGCAGCAATAACCAGCCACCTAATGTGGAAAATGCAGAGTGAGGAATATCATATCAGATCTTTTGAGATAGAGATATGATGCAATTATTACCCAAGTCAGTAGAGCTGACTCGTGGCTATAAACACAGCTCAACAGTGCTAGTTTCTCCAAAGGTTGAATCTGAATGCCTGCCATGGAGTCTGCTGTTATGATCCAGAAATATGTGAGATAATTTCATTAACTTCCTGGAATGAAAACTTTGGTGACTGTGCATTCTCTTTCAGTTAATCAAAAATGAATTACGACCCCATATTCCACCGTTGACAGCATTTATTGCTTAACAAATAAACTGTGCACAGTTGTTTAAATGAAATATGGCGTAATGTTTGTTATATTTTTGCAAAACCTTAGATGAGTCCAAAAAAAACCCAAACCCCGGAGACGTTCGGTACTTTACTTCATGTAGCAACTGCTGTATGTTATGAAGCGTTGAAACAAAGAGCAGAACATAGACGCTTTGATGCATCATGCGCTCACAGTTTTCACCGACTGACTTGTTTATTACGAGCGGCAAATGAAATGATGTTGCACTAATGCATGGCTTTGGTTTGTCATGCAAGTTGTAGTTTAAAAACAAAAATACAAACCCTCCCACACAACAGCACCACACTTCTCACCTCCTCACAGACAAATACAGTATTATACTGCCAGATTTTTCTGTAAATATATGCCGTGTCATGGGCGGCCATGCTGAATGCTTTATCACGCTGTGAAAAAATCCTTCATCATTACACCAAAATGTGCTAACAAATTACCATTTCATAACAGCTTTGTGTGCGCAGAGAAACATTCACATGTGATAGATAGCATCTTGGCACGGCGCTGCTGTAGCATTACTGCTGCTCCTGCTGATGGCTTTTCAATATAGCATTGCAGTAATTTTCCATAAGCCAGTATGACTAATGGCATAAACAATGGAGCTGAATGTTCACGTTATGGGCCCATTATGAAACTATCAGAGCAGGCATGTAAAGACGGATGCCTTTGATCAGCACTCTATTGTAGCAGCCAGGTGCAGAGAAGAGGATTTAAGTCTTAAAGTGTGTCTTAAGTGTGCGTGTGTGAGGCAGAGAGAGAGAGGAAGGGGAGGTTGGGGGGGGGGAGTGAAATAAAGAAAAGGGGAACTAACAAAGACAGAGACAGGAGACGAAACAATGAAAACTGAAGAGAAGAAGGGGGCGAGGAAGAGACAGAAGAGAAAACCCAACAAAGTCTTTTGTTTTTACAGACCATTGGGAAAGCAATGGATTGCTTAAATGACTCCCAGTCTATTTGTGCAGCCACCCAAAGTATCTCATTTGCCTTTCATGCCTTTTCCCCCCTATACAGCACATAATAGCCCACGCTGTTGATGTCATGCAGCAGTTACCTCTATCAGCCAGTGGTGTTTCCCGGCTGTCACAGGCTGCCGTGGATGCTAAAGGGAGCAGTGAAAGTCAACAGGTTAGACACAGAAGCCCCTTAGACATGGACCACTTACTGAGTCCAAGACACTACTTGCAATAAAGAACCTATTTGGCCAGAAAGTTTAAAGTGACTTGACCAAATATGTAACAAAGAAGGTCATGGGCGCTAATGCCATGGATGAAGTGCTAAAAGAAACACGAGTCTCCTTAATCATTGGCCATTTTTATTGCAATGATTGGAGAGCACGGCGGCTTTACCGCGTAAAAAAAAACATGACAAAACAACTAAAAGTTTAGAGACCTCTAAAGCACTACTGTAAAATCGTGCGTGATTTTTGGGTCATTGGACCGATTTCATAAAGCGAGTGCTTTTTCCACTTCACTTGCTGCATTTTGTCTGCCGTGCAACCCTTGACAGAGCTCTCTCAAAGGAAGAGTCATGCTGTGCCAGCTTCCAAAAACCCAGCTGAGTGCCGGCAAAGCCGCGGATCTAAAAGCTGTCTACATAGTAAGTTTTGTTAGCTTTTTTAACACGACTAACTGCACTGTAGAGATGCATAACAGAAAAGTTAAAGGAAATTTAACAGATATAATTAAGCTCCCCATGCGGCACGTGAGCCTGCTTTTTACTTCCTGCTAAAGAAATGAAAACTTTAGATGTTTTAATTAAATGCTTTTCAACTTTGGACAGTTGGCTGAACAAAATCAATGATTTGAGAGTGATTTGAATTTTCACAATGTTCTATAGTTGTTTTTATTATGTGGTCACTTAAGAAAAATAATACGAGAATGAGGACAATAATAATGAGCTGCTGTTATCCCGCCTTTTCCATTGGAAAGCTATCTAATACTTGCATGTCCATTAAAAGATGTTCTTTTGGACCCACTCCCTGCCCCTTACACCATCACGGTGCCTCTGCTATTGTTGCTGTTATCGGCAGTGAGATGTTTAAAATGAGGCGCCTGACAACAGATAACATCTGAAAGGCACTGAATCCATTATGGCGGTTGATGTTCCGGGAAAGGGTAAGGAGAAGGCTCATCTGGAGGTTTGGAGTTTGGAAAGCAGGAAAGAAGGGAGTTGAAAAGAGAAGCGAGAGGAGACAGCAGGACTGTGGTGCTTTTTCTTATCCGTCTGGCTCTGGTTCACATCGATCTTTAGGGTGGGAAACATCCAAAATTGAGGAAATGGACATTATTTTCTTGCATTAAAGACGCAAATTGCAATATTGCTACATTATATATATATATATAAATAATTAGGCTAGCATCAATTCCTATAAAGATAGAGTCAGAAAGAGACAAAACCACATGGAACTGCTACAAAAACCACACAGACCACCTGGATTGTTCTTTACATTACTGAGAAAAAAGAAATGTGAGTAAAAGGCAAAAGCAAAGCAATTAATTCCCAATAAATATTCCAAAAGTTTAAACTTATAGTGCACTTTTGGAAGGAAAGCAGCACAATGGTTCCAAGGATGGCTTATACCATTCCGACTTTGAAATGTGACATTTAAATGGCAGCAATGGGAGACACAGTGGTGTTTATCTGCACTTATTCTAATGCTTCTGGAATGATACGCGTCATCTTTTCTGCACATGTGCACACATATGAAATGTGCCAGCTGCAGTCACAATAGTCAACAACGCCCCGCCATAACGCTTCGTCACGACGAGGATCATCCCCACAGCTGGCAGGTAGAACCGCCAATCAGATTAACTGGGCAATTACACTTCTAATGTGCCACGCAAAAACCTAACCAATTACCTGCACTCAGCCAGATGTAACCTGAAGGTAAGGCCAGATGTGAAGACGTGAAGTCTGTTAAATCACAAATCAAATTTGGCATGTAAATGGAGTGTTATGGAAATCTGAATAGCTTTTTAATACGAGCAGTAAAAACAGACGAGCTTTTAACAGCTGCTGCAATCGAGAGCCTTTTTGGGTAATGTGTGCCATAAAGACCACACTGTAACAGTTGGAGACACTGTACATCCTGATGAGGGCTGATTATTCACAGAAGGTAGATTCTGAAACATACTCCATAGGGTACAATCCCAAGATTAAAAATCTCTGTCAGACATTTGTAGCACGCTATATACTTTATGTTAAATTCCTCAATTACGGAGCCGTTAATCTATTAAAGCTGTCAAAGTGTCTGTGCACGTTTCACTGCACTGTCTGCATTTCCCCCTAAACTAAACTGGGTTTGTTATTCCCCTCACATATCGGAGCGGGTCTGCAGCAACAAGGCCAGACTGACAGCCTTATCCACAGCTAACAAATACAGCAAACTTCCACCTTCACTGGCAAACACAGCTCTGAAGGGAGTTATGGAGCAAATTATACTGCAGCACAACTTCAACAGCCACATACTGATGAAGCATGAAATTGTGACTTCTTACAGCGACTCTAGCTAGAGATTTAAGTTAGTGACTAACACTATAGGTAGGGTACCGACTTGCACTCTGATTAACCAGCTAGTTTAGCAGCAGGGGCTGGATGCATGCATAAGTTGGGTGATAAGAGCGGGAGGGGGGGGGAAGTTTGGGCTAAATAAAGAGGAGGGAGTTGTTAAAGAAGAGAGGTGGAGGTTTGTTGCAGGTCGGTGTAAGGGTGGTGTCTTACCAAATCTCTGGGGATTTGCATCTGGGGCTCAGCATTCTAGAGGATGGAGGAGGGACAGAAGAACCAAAAGTAATCAGGAAATAAAATATACTTATTTACATAAACAGTGAACATTTGATTATAACAGAAATCAGGGAACTAGTGGATCAAGTTAGGCAGTTCAAGAAAAAGCGCATGCAGGATATGAAAACGATAAATCTGACGAGTGCAGAGACTTTGAGTATCAACCGTGGCTCGGAAACATCTGAAGCGGTTGCAAAGACAAAATGTCATATCATCGAAATGCTGTCTTTGCATCCGCACAAACTTACAGTTTCACTTTCATTTACTCTAGACTTTTTTAACCATCCAGCTGTGACCTATCGCAAGATGAGACAAACATCCAGATTGCTTTCATCGCAAGAAAAACGACCCGAAGAAATTCACAGCCGAAATCTTTACAAGTAAAATGCTCCGTGTAGACCGAGATTCTGAAACTTTCACACAGTTTTGACTGTAAATAAAAAGTCAGCATCAGTCCTCAAACAAAACAACAACAACAAATCTCGGTGAGCACCAGAATTTGGCCAAGCCCAAAGTGCGGTTCAAAAAGGATCGTCGAATGCATTCGGCACAGTTTAGTAACCGCTTTGAAAAAGTTGCTTGAATTTAACTACATTCAAAACTGTAAAGGACAGAGCTGCTTTTTACAATCCTGCTTCTCTCCGAAACTAAATGTGATTTTATGCCAGATTCTTGTATTGGTGATGCAGGAATTTGAATAAAAATACAGCAAATCTGATTAACATTTCCAATATCTTTGTTATCCTACCATTACAGTGTAAGCTCAATTTCCTGCTCAGCGTATTACGTGTCACACTGATGTAGTTTCACATTAGTGATAAAATAGATTGTTCAGCTTAGATTAAGGGCTTTTATACCTGCTGAGAATTATGTCACCTGTAATACAACAGCTGCTCACTTAATTCTTTTCATTACTCTACATTAGATTTAATATATCAGGCTTAGTAATCGCCATTTGTAATTCATAACTATGTGCCAAGAAAGGCCGATTTAGTTTTTTTTAAGCTTAAATTACCCAAGTAATGCGCTACTGTGAATTTAGAACATCTTTCACCCTTATGTTGTTGTTAACTGACAGACTGTTTCGTCTCCACAGGCTCTAAAACGCAGAAGAAAAAGTGCAGTCTAGCTTTAGATAGAGACTCGAGCTGCTCATTTTGAGCACTGGACCTCATCTCCCTCGAGTCCCATTTCAGCCCTTTCACATCGCACTCTCCACCCTCTGCAGCTGATAACCACAGATCAAATAAATCCTGCCATCTAACTACCAGCTATGCAGAGTCAGCCAGACTTAAAGCTCTGCTGTAATCTAAAGATGAGTATCGACCAGTGTGGCAGTTTGCCTCATCAAACTTCACCCATGGCGACAGCCAGCCAATAGCCTCATCTGCATCGCTCACTGTGATAATTGTCACCAATCAGCCGTTTGATTGGCACCGCTTGCTAGTGAATAGCTGTTTGTGGCTCTGCTGGCTGTCGTGGCTTCTGAAGGTAGAGGGAGAAATAAATTTTTGCTACAGCAGAGCAGAGATTTAAGGCTGTTTGGTGCCATTACTCACGTTAGTACTCGATAAGCTGTGTGTTAAAGCCAGCTAGCAGAGGTAGGGAGATAGCAGAGAAACCTTGACTGTTGCTGTAGAGTAAACACCAATGTGGTTTAAAGCGCACCCACAGCCTCCACTGTTCACTTCCCACACATTAATAAAGCCACTTAATTCTCTGTGTTCTGCCATCCTGCTTCTGCCTTGGTCATTATAAGCTCCCTTCCTGATTAAAAAACACAACTTTGAGGCAACGCCATACGTGCCAAGCATCCTGTTATACGTTTCTGCAAAGATAATTAAGTACAACATCTGGCACCATGTAAAAACATGAACTTCATGAACATAAACAAACATGAAAACTAAATTAGCATCAGTACGCATGAATCACTGAGAGTGGCTTCTGCCAAGACTGAGTGACAGCAGCAGCATCCAAAAACTGCTCGCAAACAGTTGCATTTCAGTTTGTAAAATGTAATGTGTGTGGACTACGCCTGATTGATATTCAAGCCAAGTGTGTTTTTCACTCTCTGCCTGCTACCTGCCCTGCGTCTGTCTTTTCATCCACACATCCATCAATCTACCGAGTCAGCTTGGAGGCAAAACACAGCGAGAGGAGATGGAAATGCAGATGCAGAGAAGGTTACCCACCAAATGTGAAGAAAGAAAGGGAGCTGGTGAAGGAGGATGGAGAGGAGGGTGATGGATAATGAAAGACTGAAGACAAAGTGAAATCGAGAAGAAAGGAGAGGGTGAAAAGACAGCTCTACAGGTTTCCACCGAGGCTAGCCGCGACTTGATAATAAAGAGCGGTGCGGCGATGGAGCAGGACAATCAATCTGCATGCTCGGCTAGCGTGCTGTGTTAGCTGGGAAATGAGAAGACGGCACAGCCCTCACTGGAAGGACTAACAGGGCTTGTGACAGCTCAGGATCACACACGGAAGTGCTCACACACATGTGCCAGAACACACCATCTCTGTATATACATAAATGGTAAATGGCCTGTATTTGTACAGCGCTTTTACTAGTCCCCCCTAGTACACACCCAGTCATCCACACATTCACACACTGGTGGAGGCAGCTACAGTTGTAGCCAGAGCTGCCCTGGGGCAGACTGACAGAAGCGAGGCTGCCATATCACGCCATCGGCCCTTCTGGCCAACACCAGTAGGCGGTAGGTGAAGTGTCTTGCCCAAGGACACAACGACCGAGACTGTCCGAGCCGGGGCTCGAACCGGCAACCTTCCGATTACAAGGCGAACTCCCAACTCTTGAGCCACGATCGCCCAATAAATTACATATAGATGTCATGATATGTAATGCATTATGGTGACAGGGTGAAGAGCTGCAGTGAGGCGAGCAGCCAACGTACCACTTCTCGGGGTAGGAAAGAGTCCTCCTGGCGTAAAACCAGCAGCCCCACAGCCCCGCCCATGGGTGTAGCTCTAAGCAAGGCGACCACTTCCTCCTGGGTCCGCCCATTCAGGTCCACGCCATTCACCTGAACAGGAGGAGGCACAGTAATTGGGTTAAACTCTGGGCTTGTTTTAAAAAAGGTGAAACACTCAAATCTCTTAATTACGCCTTTTGGCCGTGACAGAAAAGCAGCAGCACTTTACATTTTTATCAAAGCGGCAGATGGTTCGTTTTCTAATTTGATTAGTCGATCAACTAGTCGCTTTAGCCCTAGTTCAAACAAAGTTTGAAAATGAGAAAAACATGAGGATAAAAGGATTGAAAGTTTTGGTGGAATAACCCCATACATTCAGAGCTGCACAGTGTAATCCTTTATGCAAATGGTTTGCAACGTGGGATGATGCAACTTCAAAAGCCGTTCTGTTTTTGCTGCACGAGATAGCGTGTGGAAGCATAGTCTTTGATTTAATTTCAGGATCCACATTTCCATTTAAAACAGTTACGAGAAAGGAATTTGTTACACTTCAGCAGATGGCGAGCAGCGTATATAACACATATTTAAAATTGCAGTTTCTCGTGTTTTGGAACGAAATCACCGTTCCTACGTGATGCACATCTACCTTCCAGATCACAATCGCCATCTAAGACTTTATTAAATGACTAAATTAAAGCCTCCTCACACACGCCTTGTAAAGCATCACCGCACTTTCCCATGCTTACCTCTAGCAACCTGTCTCCTGCCTTGAGACGGCCATCTTGGATAGCAGCTCCTCTAGGCAGGATATTCTTCACGTAGATGGGTGCTGAGCCCCCGATGGGAACATCCCGTGACGTTATACTGAAGCCGAGTCCCTCGGGGCCTGCGGGATGAGCAGGTGAATAAGTGAGGATGCAAAACCTAATGATAGGATCTGGTTTTATCTTGACGAACAGTCTCCTCTGTACCTCTGGATCTCAAGCTGCTAAAAATATGTTAACATTCAACTGATAAAACTCTCCTGTATCTGAGAGGGCAATAATATTGGCTGGTGTTTTGGGAGACATTTAGCTGAGAGTCAAGTGGGTTCTTTCATTAGGAGTAAAGGGCTGGTATGAATATAGTTGTCCCACCCGAGGGGAACACTTGACCCATTAACAATGAGTACCTCATCTCTTTTAATAGAGCACACTCCTAACCAGTTTTTCCAGCACCATCATCCAGTAACAAGTGGCCCACCTTACCTGAATTAAAGAGTGCGTCCCCCAGTGTCAGAGGAAATAACTGTAATCCACGTTAATAAGTGAGGCCGTTGTTTAGGCCACTGTGAATTTACTACTGCAACATCGTGATAAACACGATCCGCCTGATTCTGTCTGATTCAGCTCAGCATGCAGCTGAATGATTACATCATACTTTCAGGAAATAATCAGTAGAATATCACGATGCTGAAAAAAACCAGAGGCAATATAATCAGCATTACAGCGACAACCAGTGCTGTAAATTTCACAATAAATGCCTCTCACACCATCATTTATGAAAACTGACTGTGTTTTGAGAAGAATACACCAACGAGTCTCTCCTTTCCCTCGTGAGCTGGCCTATAAGGCACACAGTACCCCGAGATGTTGTTGATCTACATGTGCTCATTAACCTGTGTTTCTGTGGGCGGATTGCATTTGGCTTGTGTACATTTGCAAGTTTTGCCTGCAACCTCGTACGAGTGCATCATTATGAGCCATTAGGAACGCAGGTCTCTGTCTCATATTATCCATATTCCTAGCAGACAAACAAACAAACTATTTCCTATTATTGGGCAACTTGAAGTTGCAGGAAATGAAGAGAAATCCTCTACCCTGTCAGCACAGCACTTAAGTAGGTTTGTGGTGAATAATTAAAGTAGTTTGTACATTGCAGGGCAATGAAAATGCATGCTTTTAAAGTCTCAGTTTGAACCAGTCAATAATTACACGCAATTATGTTGTGCCAATAAGAAAGTTCAGCCTGAAGAAATGTAATACTTTTGCTTGATTTTTAATTGGAGCCAGAAATTGAAAAACAACCTGGGTCAAAAAAACAACACGCATTACACAACAGGGTTAGGGAGCGGGTAACCAGAACTTTTTATCTGCAAATGCAATGCAGCTCTAAACCTTTCCACACAAAACCTGCAGGTCCAGAACAGAAACGTCTAAATGAGCA